AGCAGGAAACTCACTCTACTATCCAGGCTGTACTTGGTTTATTTAAGACGCAAGGGAGAAGGACAAGTTACCAGAGCTTCCCCCCAGTCAGGAGTGGAGGCCTGTTGTGCACACGTATATCCCCTACCAGATAACAAATTCCCACCAGAAAAGACAGTGACCATGAACAGATCTATGGGATCAGATCAGATTTTGTGTCCTGCATGTGGGTGCCCTCTGAGAGCACCATAGGTGCTCTCTGGATGGCTGGAAAAATTGTTGTGGTGGCCCCTCCTTCCTGATGACAGTTGCCATCACAGGTGAGGCTCAGGGCCTTCAGGAAAGGTCCTGAAGGAGAGGACTATCACCTACATAAGACAGCCACCTCCCAGCCCACCTGCCAGGGACCCTCAGAAGAGAGGAGGCCAGGAGTAGAGCTGCATATCTGTGGCCAGGTATGTACTGATGTCTAAAGTGGCCTGTGAGCTGTGGACTGGATATTCCTGAGCAAGAGTATATGAAAGCACAGCTGAAAACTGTGACCAACACAAAGTGAAGCACCAATAGCCTGCAATAACTGAAGCCATCAAAGAGAAACAGAGCTCAGTTGGGATCCACTGGTCTAAAAATAATTAGGTGTTGTTTTTCTTTACAAAAATCTGTACAGACAGAATGCAGTTGGGACATAATTGTGTTTTATTGCTGTCATTCTGCAGAACTGGTATCTGAGGAGCAACAAAGAGAATTGTTAGATATTGATGCTTCCTCGGAGACGATGGATGATGGGATAAGGAGGCTCAACACCATCGGTCATTATGAGGTAAGGGTGCAAGCCACGCTAGTGAGTTGAGAACTGGTTTCTTCCCAACTCCTACATACTGTCTGCACAGAAATATCTTGATCGATCGAAATCTTGAAAAGACAGCTGAGCACCATCAACAGAAAAAAAGAAGTGTGTGACATGACTTCCTTGCTGATGAGTCACATATTTTCTGTTACTTTTCAGAGAGGTTTGCTTGTTGCAGAGGGTACTTGGTTTAGGTATGTCAGATAAACTGTTCCCCTTTCAGCTGGGAAATTCAGTTAAAAGGGCATCTGATTTCTAGCTATGAACATTGCCTTGAGTTTATTCTAGTCTCTGCTGCTGAGTTTTTGTTGCACCCTGAGCAATTATTTGATCTCTTCCCACCTCATATTTTGGTTATTTGAACAGGTAGCGGTGACACTTGTGAAAGCTCATTGAGAGCCAGAATAAAAATAACTGCTGGGATGAGTTTGTTCTTTCTTATGAGACTTTATGCATCAGTCTCCTTCATCTATTATCCCTATTTCTGCTTCCGTGCAGCACGGCTACCTATACCCTGATTTTTCCCCTCCACTTCCAATTGCATCTATAAAGCAGTCCTTTTCAATGCCTACTTTTCCAAATCTGTCCATCACTGCAGCAGCACACAGGGGCCACAACTAATGGCAGAGCCCTTTGGGGCTTAGCACTTTGCAAAAGCGTAGCGAGTGGTATTGTCTGTCCAAGGAGTTTCCACTGACATAGGACAGTAGTAGAGGGTGAGAGGCTGGAGTTGGATGTTCAGCAGATGACTGACCTCAGGTGATTTGGTAGCTCACACTTTGATGCTTACAGCTACGTTTTGAAAATGAGGTTAGTGTGCCAAGTGCTTTTAGTGAGCTTCTTTCATGCTTCATTGTAGAAGCTGAAAAATCTCTCTCTTAACATGATGGTGTATTTTTATTTATTTAGATGTTTTGCTGGTGAATGTAGTTCTGTGTCATGCAATGCAACAGGGCCCTGAGAAACCTGAGCCAGCTCTGAAAAGATGGTGGTCCGTATGAGTCAGTACAGTGCCATCACCAGATAGGAACAAGGAGTCCTAGCAGGACCGTTCATAGCTGGGGTGAAGCATTAGGCTGCTCAAGTCTGGAGCAAGCTTGTTTGGAGCCAGTTCACAGATTTCTATAGGGGTTGTTTGCTCCCCTTACATTGTGGGAGGCAGAGATGAACCCAGATGTCCTTAGTCACAGTCCAGTACTTTAAATAAAGCTCTTCCTGTGCCTCTCTTGAATCTTGTCTCTAGATTAGTGTAGGACTTCCCTCTGATCAGTAAAAGCTTTATACAAATCAGGACATCGTAGTGTTGCAATCAGTGCCTATGCAGCAAAGGTCTGAGCAAAATAGATTTGAATCTGATTAGGTATTTGGGCTCCTGTCTGTTATGATAATACAAGCCCTCTTTACTGTGGGTAACTATTGCAAGTGCTAACTGATTTTACATAGCGCCTATTCACGCTTCCTGAGCGAGAGCTCATGGTGCCACACTTTAACACATAAGTCTGGTCCAGCTGGTCACTGTCATCCCTGGGTATCTTTGACCTAGCCCTTGTTTTCCCCTGTGGTTCTGCAGATAGATACAAGTTACATTGGAGGTTGAGTTGTTTTTGCAGTGCTATAACTATACTAATTATAGCTTAGCAGCTGCCTTATGGAAATTGTGCTGGGTGTCTCTGTTAGATATTTTAGTTCGCTTTTTCTGACCATGACAAGATAGGGTACAATTTAGGCAGAAGCGTAGTGGCATCAGGGCAAGGATCAGCCATTTCCCTGTCCATTTTTTTTTCTTTTTTTTGTATGCATATTAATGCAAAAAGGAATGTAAAGATGTCCAGTTAGCAAGAAAAACAAGAAAAGGAAATGCTGCATATACAGTGTCAGGGTAGTAACATTGCCTGAGGAATTCCAACTTACATTTCAATAGTGCCTAGAGATTTACGGCAAGCCTGATTTTTTCTTTTTGTTTGCCAGCCTTAAACACTGGAAAGATATTAGTTTTTTTTTTGGGGGGGGGGAGAGAACTAGGAAGACCATCAGGTCTTTTTAAGATATTCAAGTGTGAGGGGGTTGCATTGTCAACGTCCTAGAGTCACTAATCACTTGAAAAAAGCAGACTTAATTTCTACACTAATTTTAAAAATGATACTGCTGTAGTTTAAGGAAGGAGTTAGGGAGCAGCTTTCAGAACTGCTCTCCACTCACAGATTTCAAATTTCTCAAGCTGTAGCAGGACTATAAGTACCAGCAGCAGGCACAGCCCGAGTGAGCAGATCTGCATGTGGGACCCCGGGAGCCCACTGAAAACAACTGGATTATAGGGAGGGCAGGAGGCCTGGAGGACAAGGAGGAGCCACACTACTACTTTTTTTTTTTTTTGCAAAGTACCTATGTGGATCTGAACAGATCTCCCGCCTCCCCTTTCGTTCCCCTCAGTAACTCTCATCACAAAGTGACGATGTTTTGAGGTGCCCGTGGAAGCAACCCACCATGAAGAGTGATGATATAGGTAGCAGGACACAAAAGGAAAGGCTTATCTTTTTCTCTATAGACCACCCTGAAAGAAAGAGCAAGTATGGCCACAGAGGTAATCATAAAAATCACTGAGTATTCCACTCAGTGCCAAAAGTAGCATTTGTCCCAGAAATAAAAGCCCAGGTAGGAGGTTGGATCATGGCTGCACTGCACCAGTGTCTCCGCTCCCTAGAGGGAATCACAGTTCTCTGTGCTTTGCCCCTTTCCTCAGGATAGGAGCTGACATATTTCAGCATTAAGCTGCCCTGCTGCTTCTCAGAGAGGGAGGGCAGTGGAAGCATCACATTGCCCATGCCACTTTGGGAGGGGGTAAGCTGCTGTGTAGCCCTAGTCCTGGTCCTGTTTTCCTCTCTTTCAGGGCCTGGTAGTGAGGTGAAGGAGGGCTCTTGTTCTCGCTGCGTGCTCACCTCACATCCCAAGCTAGACTTACAGCATTGGTAGTGTGGTTTTAAAGCGCTCTGTGTTTGTTATCTGGAAGAGCTGTGAAATGCTGCATGATAAATGGAAACACTGGAAAAAAATAAGGCTTATAAAATAGACTGTATTTACTTTCCAGGAGCAAGTGTAAGTGCAGATTTCTTTGGCACAAGACACAGCTTTTGATAGAGTATCTTAATGTTTAAACTGGTTTCTCACACCAGGCTGGCTGCCAAGGTTTAAAAACACTTAAATTATTTTGGCAGAGGTCCCTTCCTAGAACTGGCCAGTTGTTTTTGTAATTATAGAGGGAAGTATACTAGCACTTGGCAAAACCCAGCACTTGACAGCAGAGCAGTGGTGTAGTACTCAGTGGGAAACATTTTGGAGTTGTTCTTTGACAACAAGAGCATGACTTGCCAATTTCTTTTGAAGATAATAGTTACTATCCTAGCAGCACCACTCGCAGAAGTCCCTAGATAAGAGTCTTGACTTCATAGCCCACCAGGCACAAATATTGTGGTCACTTTGGGAACTGAAGATTGAAAATAGTTTTTAGGAGCACCAGGCTAGGCTGTATGAGTACCCTCAACATGGTCCCCCCATAGAGAATGGGGGGGAAAGGCATCATCTGCCTCCACGTCACCTCACTCACCTAGGGAAGTGCTGGAAAGGATGGAGCTGGAAGAAAGGTTGGAATAGAAATCATCCTGGTATTCCCTTTCCTGCCCCACCTTCCTGTAAGATACTGCTGAGTCGGAGCCACAGAATCCAACCCATCCAGAAAGATGAATAGAGAAAGAGCCACAAAGCAGGACATGAAAATGAAATATCCAGAGCAGGGCTGAACCAGAAAAATCAGGGAAAGGCCGGAAAGGCCAGATTCTCAGAAACGCTGGCTTCCCACAGGTCCAGGTAAGGCTAACAAACTGCAGCCGCTGCGTGTGCCTGAAAACCCAGCCCCGGCTGCCCGCTGAGAGCCACGTACACCGTGCTGGGAAGGGAGCAGGCTGGCACAGTCCTGGGCTGTGCAGTGACGGGCGTAAAGGCAGAGGAAATGAAACTGAGGGTTTGTGAATTTTCACATCTGTTTCAGCGAGATATGTTTGTTTTTGCTTTCAGATTTCAAATGGAGCAACTATAAAAGTCTTTAAAAAGAAAACAAATATCCGATCAGGTAACAAAGGAACTACAACCTATTTAATCTTTTGTGAGGAATGGGCTGGGGACACAGAGAGCTGAGCTATGACAGGTTGTATCTTGGTCAATAGGTGGTCAGAAAAATTGGCACTTCGATACAACTGAGCCAAAGGGACAGCAACTTTGCCCTGCCTCGGGGCCTCTGGCAGGCACAGTGGGCCTAAGGGGAGGAGAGAAGGCAAAGCAAAGACAGAAGGACCTACAGTCTTTGGCAACTGAATGCTTAAAGATGCAGACTAATAGGCGGGAAAATAGGGCAGGGAAGTCCAAATGCCACAAAATGCTGGCTGATGAGACCAGCACAGAAACCATACCCTGCTCCGTTACCCTGTGTTATGCGTCACAGACATGACAAGGCCACTGTACAATGACAGGCACAATGAATAAAACACAATTTCAGAATTTACATTGCTCTCCTTGCTGTGTTTCTGGAAGTTTGACTCGGCTGTGTCAACAGCGCATCAGGAGTTAAAGGGTGCGTACAGGGGGTCAGTTCATCTCGCTTGTATATCTGGGACGCAGATAGCTCCGGCTAGTGAGAGCTGGACTTTCTCTAGCCCCTGGGGAGAAGCAGACGCTCCTAGGGTGTGATTCACTTTGCCGTCAAAGTGGACATCTAAAGGTAGGAAAGATGAATCCGAGGCTGAGATGCGAGTCACAGGGATGGCTTTGCTCTCTCTCTTGGCAAGAGCTGGGTTATCTGTTCTCAGCCATTTGAGAGACCAACCTCAGCCCGCCTATGTTGAGTAACAGTGGCTAAACCAATGCAATGCAGTTCCTTCTCTGTTTATCATCCTCCTTTCCGAGGAGCTCTGGTTTGCTAGTGGCTTATCCCAGCAGCAGACGACACCAGTCTAGTTTAGTGTTTGTAGTTACAGAACGGCACTGGGGATGCGAGCCAGGACCTGTCCGTTTCTCCAAGGCTTCCCCCAAACTGCTGGCAGGAAAGCGCGACACTGAGCCTGCTCGCTCTGCATCCTGACATGTACCCTGGTGCACAGTCCAGAGCCCACCAGAGCCCTGAATTCACAAGCTTGTAACTGCATTTCGTTAATGCCTTTTTGCTCTCTGCTTTCTGTTATTTAGATGTGGACTACTCTGACCAACACTGTCATTTGGTGAGTTCGGTAAATATACTCTGTTAAGTGGTAGATTCAGTACTAAATGTTCGCATCTGTGTAACCTCTCTGATCTCTTCATAACAGATTTTACCAGACTCTGAAGCAAACAAAGATGTGAAAGGAGCAGGTCACAAAGGAAAGCAAAAATTCAAAGTGAAAGAAATGTATTTGACAAAGCTTCTGTCGACCAAGGTAAACTGCTAAGGTCATACTTTGGGAGAGGGCTGGTGTGAGCTTTGGCTTATTTGGTGCAGTAGAAATAAAAATTAAAGCAGAAATTATGCAAACTTCATTATGCATACTTTCTTTCTCCCCAGTATTCATAACATTTTCTTTTTTGTCTAAAAATGTATTTATTGAGGGCTATTGCAAGTGAGTTTTGCCATTGAGTTTGACAGAGCAGGAACTGTCCTTTCTGGAGAGACAGCTTTCAGTCAACAATTTCCTCTCTCTAGTGGAGGTTGCCCAGTCTAGAGGTATCTTCCAAGGCTTGTGTTTCAGAAAATACTGCCCATCATCTGACTGAAATGAAATAATCTTGTAGGGTCTCAGGATGAGCATCCTAAGTCACTAGATGAGTTTGAAAAACAAGGTCCATAGGATTTATAATTATATTATCTAATTTATACAATACACATTCCTTAGGAAGAAGCCCTGCTCACTACTGCCAGTTAATACCATCTTGTTTCTGACTTATTCAAAGAGGATATAAAACTTTGCAATGGCATATTACTTAAAATATTAATCAGTGCACAACACTGAGAGCTGTGTGATACCAGAGGCCTGAAGGGATGATCATTATGGCCCTCTTGCATTTAAAAATCCAGCAATCATTCGTTAATTAGATTGTTGATAGCATCTAAAGTAATTTAGGGCGCTCCCCAAAGTGAGAGACAAGACTGATCATTTCTCAAGAGCCATAGAAACTAGCATAACCTCTTAGGAATTGCTGGGGTAAACTAGTAATATCTTATGGCAGAAAACTGAAGTACAAAAGAGAAGAGCAGCCTCTTGAGAAAGAGTCTTTAAATGCCTTTCAATTAATCACCTCTTTCTTCAAAGACAGGGCTCTGAACAACAGTGCTGTGAGATCCTTCATTGTAAAATTCTGTCTACGATATGCTGTGCACTAAAGCAAATTGCGTTGGACCATGTCTTTCTTTCTTATACACACACACAGTCTCAGGGTTCAGAGTTTGGTACATGAAATGAGCAGGCCAGTAACCCATCAGGGACTGGGATACGCTTAAATCACAGAATCACAGAGCGGCCAAGGTTGGAAAGGACCTCTGGAGTTCATCTAGTCCAGCCCCCCTGCTCAAGCAAGGTCATCTAGAGTACATTGCCCAGGATTATGTCCAGGCAAGTTTTGAGTATCTCCAGCGAAGGAGACTCCACCACCTCTCTGGGCAACCTGTTCCAGTGCTCAGTCACCCTCACAGAAATCCTGCAGAAGAACTGTGCTTCAGAATAGGTGTAAAGAAAAAAAAAGCACTAAACAAAGAGTGTTTTGCTTCGTTTGCCCTTACTTACTAATCTTCTGTAACGATGTCAGTGGGTCCAGCAGCAACCAAGGCCTTGTTTTTGTTGGCTAAGTAGCTTTGCTTCTGGATCAGAACTATCCAGTTTTCAGTTCCTCTCTCTAATACTGGCATCTTTGTATGTCACCCAAAGCCCTTATCTTAGAGTTAGATCAGTGAAGTGTTGATGAGAAGAGTAGCTCAGCATGTATCTCAGATGGCGTGATGAGGACCAGCCCTCTAGAAACCTGGTTGAACTCCTTTTTCCTCGCCGTACTCTTACTTCCGCTAATACAGTTCCAAGTGCCTTTAGAAAAGATGCAAACTGTATCTAAAAGAGCTGATGATATTGTTTCCTTTGTTCAGGAAGCCTGTTCAGGATTCCTTCCACCTGTGATTTATCATGAAGTTTTACCACAATTCTGTCAGCAAAGCAATAGTTAGTGAGTTGTGAAAGCAGCTCGTTAGGGTGTATTTTGTAGTTTTGTTTTTATTATTGACTGCCTTTTTGGGCAATAACCTATGCCCTACATGTTTGCCACAAGTGTGTAGCAGTTTCTGCGTGTGGTTCCCCTGGAGCACATTCAGCTCGCTGAGACAAGAAATCTTGTTCTTTTCATGTGTAGTAGTAGCACTGCTCGTTTTCTTACTTTTCAGGTCGCAATTCATTCAGTTGTTGAAAAGCTCTTCAGAAGCATTTGGAGTTTACCTAACAATAAAGCACCTGTTGCCATCAAGTACTTTTTTGACTTTCTGGATGCCCAGGCTGAGAGCAAAAAAATTACAGACGCTGATGTGGTTCATATATGGAAAACCAACAGGTATGCCCACGTGCTCCTGTGCGCATGAGTGTGTGCACTTTCCAAGAGCGTAGTTGCAGAGGTGGAACAGATCACACGTGACCAGAAGAATAAGATTTTGGCATGTTAGAGTGAAGAGGCTGACAGCATTAACTGCTGCATGTTGTTATATAAGTTCTTCCAAAGTCTGCTGAGACAGAGTGTGATGGTGCTGAAGCAAAGACCATCACAGTATTACAGCTCACGAAAAACATAAGGCATCAAGCAGAAACAAACTGAAGTTTGCCCACTCACTTCTGTGGTTTGGCTTTGTGGGTCCCAGTAATGAAAATGCATTGATTACAGATACAAACCACTGTAGTTCACGGGACTTTTGAGACTGCACGCTGACTTCACACTCGGAAAGAAGTATGTGCAGTTTGAGAGTATTTACTGCAATTTGAAGCTGGAGAGCTGACCTGACGGAACTGGTTGCTCCATGGTGTTTGTTCGCTGATCCCTTTTTTTAACCTAAATAAGCAGCACAGAATTGTGCTTCCTTTCATGAATGCAGGGCAATCAAACTGCCATTTTAATAGCAGTTGTGTGGCCTAAGTGGTTAAATTTAAGGTGCTTGTCCTTTCTCTGACTAGTCTTCCTCTTCGCTTCTGGGTGAATATACTGAAGAATCCCCAATTTGTCTTTGATATTAAGAAGACTGCACACGTAGATGGCTGTTTGTCTGTAATCGCACAAGCTTTCATGGATGCCTTTTCTCTAGCAGAACAGACACTGGGGAAGGTAATGGTGCCCTTCATGTCTTTTGCTAGTTTCTCAACGTTTGCCTGTCTTAACTGTGTGATGGCTCTGCTGAAGTTAGGGGTGAAACTATCACTGGCTTCGTTAGGCCAGTTTTCCATTCCTTGATACTTTATCTAGCTCGCAAAACTTTGAGGAATTCACTGGCCTAGACAGATACAGCTACCAGAGTGTCACGGTTAGTTGTAGTTAACTGCTGTACTTGCTTATCTTGTGCAAATAATTTCTACACATTGTATTTATAGAATATGGGGAAGAAGGTGGAACTTGTAAGGTTTTAATTACTTTTTTTAACAATTTTTAACTAAAGGTCTTAAAAGTATTAACATTATTTGGTAAGTAGTCCAAACTTTTCTGCCACACACTGATGTACAGAAAACATATGTCATAAGCTACCAGAAGGATACTTCAAGGAGCTCTGAAGTCTGAAGCAGTTCCTTTCATAATATATTAGCTGCTTTGTTTTTATACGCAGAATTACTTACTGGAGAAAAAAGTCCATGAATCTTACATTTACATTGAGAAGCTCTTCAGTACAGTGTCCAGAACTCTGGGGATCAGAAATACTTAATTTTTCCTTTCTTTTGACCAAACATTTGGATAGGATATTTTCCTTTCTTTGGACCAAAACAGGAAGTTTTGTGTTCAGGTTCATACTGCCATTTCTCCCCCCTACCCCCACCCCCAACAGAAAACACTGAACATGAGCCTGGTCTGTTAAGATTCTGCAGTTGTTACACTTTTAACAACAGTAAAGGACTGTTAATACAACAGCTCCGTTGTTAGCCTTTTGAAAAAAGAGACGCTGAAAACCTGGTGAATTTTTACAATGCAGTTTATGTCTTGTGGCCTTTTAGTAAGACGTATTTATTTTTGTGATTTTTAGCCTTTCTCTTAAAATGTCTTAGAAAGCAAACATACTTAAAATCTTTTCATCACAGATTGGTAGCGACCAGAAATTGCGCAGGTGCGTCATTTTATTCCCCATATTTGAAACTAGAGCTGTTACAGGAAATGACCAGCCCCTACTTTTACATTCTGAAAACATGATTTCCAGGTGGGGCTTTAGCTCCTACCACAAACATCAGCATTTCCTCGGATGAGCCTAGAGCTGCCTGGAAGGTCAGTACTGACCTGGGTTGCTGATGCCCTGGGGGAAGAAAAATCCCTTTGGCTATGCGTGCCCGGCAGTCAGCTCTCCACCCTCACAAACTCCTGAGTGGAAGCAGTAGGGACCAAAGTATTTTTGCCCAATAGGGGAACCTCTACCAGCACAGGATCTAGCAAGATGGTCTCACATGTTACCCGAGGGGAACTTTCCACAGCACTGCTGTATCCTGTATGTAAATAGAATATTAGCCTCAAGCCCTTTGGTTCAGCTTTCACTATCAATCAGGTCCTGCAAGGATGGGGGGGAAGAAGCAAGAAAGAAAAATACGTCTAAGGGACGAATGTTTAACAACACTGATGATGCCAATAGAAATAATTATATGGCAACTGTCATGAAACAGAGTGCTCTGTTACCAAAGCCCTGTGTCTGTTCTTCATCTTTATTTCATAACCTTCATTCCTTGCATGTAACCACTGCAAAGAGAAATGAATCACACAGAGAGCAGACACAATGAGATACAATTAGCCCCGTGGAGGTGGAACCTCAGGAAATCCGTGCTGTTAAAACTGACAAGGCTTCAAATATTTTCTTTTAAGGAAGCACCAACAAATAAACTGCTCTATGCTAAGGACATTCCACTCTACAAGAAAGAGGTGAAAGCATACTATAAAGCCATCAGGGATCTGCCTCCGTTGACCACTTCAGAAGTTGAAGAATTTTTAACTCAGGAATCGAAGGTATGGTTGAGAAGTGGGAACTTCTTCTTCTTTCCTGTTACTTTTTTTTAAAAAGAGGAACAATCTGACCAGAACTCTTTTCTGTTTTAGAAACATGAAAATGAATTTGATGAGGAAGTGGCCTTGATTGAAATCTACAAATACATAGTGAAATATTATGATGAGGTAAGCATATCTGCTCTTCCTACTTACCCCTGTAACATTAGCTTGCCATTTCACGCTTGGAAGTCAAGCTTGACGAACTAAACAAGGTCTGGGCTGGCTTGTGACTTACTGGGTGTTCGCTTCAGAGACAGCCTGTCAGGGATGCAGCCGAGGCTGCTCTTCCCGCTGAGCTGTGTGAGGCCAGAGCAGCACAGCCCTCAGGTGTGCTTGGAAACCCGACCTCTTGGAGGGGTCACAGGCCAAAGGCAACATCCTTCGTGTTGCCGCTCTTTTCACAGAGACAAGTAAAATGAAGTAAACCCTGCGGTTTTGAGAAAGCTCCTATATATTGTAGACTTTCTGTTTGAGTGTTTGCAGAGTGTGTGTTAATGCCTGTCACAGCTCCTGTGCGTGCAGAGGAGCTGGAGATGCAGAAATCAGATTAGATTGTAGCACTGGGGGATCTCGCTCTAACAGGTCAGTGCAAACACCTCAGCAGAGCACGCTCAGCCTTACCGCAAGAGGTATCCACTCCTTGCCTGTCACTGCCCTCTTATCCTCTGCTCCAATAATCTTTCTCTCTTATGGAAACTGTAGTTTCCAGTCCCTGCTACGGCTAACAAAAGAAGTCTTTTTCTCACCCCAAAGCACTTAGTCAGATGCTCTCTTTAGGCTCCTTTGTAAGAAAATCCCTGCCTTCTGCTTTGCGTGATAGGATTCTCCACTCCTTGTTGCTTGGCACCCTTAACAGGCAGCTAGCTGCGCCTGCACAGGGACACAGATGAGAGCCAGCTGGGATGTGTTGCCTGAAGGCCTAGTTACCACTTGCAGCAGGTTGTCTGCGTCGCCCAGCAACCAGACCGGTCTCTCCTCCTTCCCCAATAGCACGGCGTCAGCCCTTGCCCTAGGCAACCAGCTGTCGCTCACCTGCTAGCGAGCTTCCCGCTGTCTTACCGCATCTCAAATGGATTCTGCATCAAATCATGACCTTAGAAGAGGTTTAGAATGACGCTTGGAAAGTCGCTACAATTTATTAAGCTAGTTAAATTGTTGGCACATAGCACTTTCTAATACTTTCTACTCTTAATGCCCATTTTTTGCTTGCTTGAAAATAGTAGTAGCTAAACTTTCCCTGTCCTTAGGAGAACACCCTCCCTCTGTCTGGCAGTGTTGCTAGCAAGGGGTTTTCAGAGAACAGTAGCGCTCCTTCCTACCTCCTGATCCAGTGCCAGCTGGGTCAGCTAAAGGAAGGGAGGCAGTTCATTGCACCCTCGGTTTAGAGGGCAGAGACTGGTGGTGGGGAATAAAAGATGGGTTGCAAAACCGCTCTAGGGTAAAACTGGAGCACTGGCCTTGCCTCACACTTCAATAGATAAACATATGTGGAGTTTGTTTTGGTTTTTTAACTTGGTTTTGTCATTCTCTGTTTTGTAGAAGTGTTGCAAATCCTGTACTCATAATCACTTGTAAGGAAAACTACAGAAAGAAAATGTTAAAGTCGGAAAAAGAAATGTACATATAGACATACATTCAGGTGGAGTTTTCTGCCAGTATTTGTTTGAATGCAGAAAAAGAGGAACATGGCTTTAAAAAAAACAGCAAATAAATAAATTATTCTTTCTTCCTAATTATTAACAGATCGTCAGCAAACTTGATCGAGAACGGGGATTTGAAGAAGTCCAGAAGCAGCTCCAACAAGTAAAAGACTTATTTGACGAAAAGAAAAAATGCAGATGGATTTGAGCAGAGCACTGACTCACGGCATCACTGTGAGGCATTTTAAATAGGTGCTACTGCTCCCAAAACAGTTTTGAATTATTATATGTACAGGGTTCAAAATATTTGGACACTTTTTTCCACTCTGACCATACCAAGTAATATCTAAGTTTGGGAATGAATTATGGGCAGGGTTAGATATTCAAATGTGGGCATGTAAAAGTGAAAGTGAGTCTAGCATTGGCATAGCCAGCCTTTTTTGGTCCTTGAACACATGCATCTTTGGGATCAAAAAACTTCCGCTTGCTTAAAAACAAACCTGTAGATGACACACAAAACATACTGCAAGTTCAGAGCTGCCCACGTGAACTTGTAAGTTGCTTACCTCTGTTTTTAAGAGAGAAAGCTGATGTTTTGCCACATCCTTTCAGCAGCCTTGGCAATCTGTGAGGATGAGCTGTCGAGCTTCAGAATATGGGTCAGCTGCAGTTTCTTTCCTTTCCAGAAACATGTACAGTTCTTGTTTGTTTGAAGAAAACAAACAAAAAAAACAAACAAAAAACAGCACCGAAGTGACACTTAGGACACGTTTGTGCCGCAAAAAAAAAAAAAAAAAAAAAAAAAAGCAGGTCTCAGGTTTGAAGTGCAACTGCCACTTGGCCTTCTCGTCCTTAGTTTAGGATCTGCATGTGCAAATAAATGCAAAGCCAACCACAGAGCAAGGGGTGAGGCTTCTGGAGAAAGAAGCTGGATGAGCATCACTCTGTGTTTACATTTTTGCCTTTCCATCCTTAAATAAGCTGTGAAACACTTGTGAGCAGCTTCACACCCGAAACCTCTGTGCAGCTGCACTGCATCCGAACACCTTTGTGGGTTGATGATCCAGCTGGCGCTGGCTGCACTTTGGTGCACAGCCCTGTGCTCAGGTGCATGATGCACAGGCCCATGCATCAGTGCTGACAGTCCTGGCCAGTCTTGCCATCCGTATATAAGGGTCTCACAGACCCAAAGCCAGCACTTCCCCCCTCACTCCCCGAGGCTGGCGAGGATTTCTTAGAATTTATTTTTGGCCAACTGTCTGCCTTAGTCCTGCTGGGGTGTCTTCTGAGGAATTTTTTTTTTTTTGGGGGGGGGGGTGGACAGAGGGGAGGAGAAATGCCGTTAGGTTTGCATCGCTGGCTAAGGTCAGCCCAACTGAGAGATGGGTGCACAGCCATTCTGGTTAAAATGGGCTGGAGCAGTGGCTGCTGGGCAAAGACCTATGGAGGAAGAGCCACGGCTCTGGCACCAGTGCAGCACAAGTCTAGTCCTGCCTCCTGCCACTACAGCACTGAAGTATCTTGTGGCCACATCCTCTGTTTCACTTGCCTCGATGGCTTGGAGGCACTTACTAAGGCTTTCACCTGCCCTTCGCTTTGCAATGAGGCTTCGCTGACAAGCTGCTCAGCTACAAAAGCCATGGAACGAGAAAGATGATTGTTACATTTTCCCCGGTGATCCCCTGCTTGCAGGCGCCTGGCACGGCTGTGGCCCACATGCGGGTGGCGAGTCCTCCAGTGCCTTGCAGCAGCGAGGGAGCCACAGGCGGTGAATTGTGCAGGTGGCCCAAGTGTCAGTACAGAAAGCACATGCTAGGGCTGTGGGTAGGCATGGCTCGCCGGGGGCTCAGAGCCTTTGTTACCTCCTACCACGGCTCGGGAGGAGCCCAGATCCTGCCGTACAACGGTGCGGTAAAGCAGGCTGTTTTGCAAATGCTATGCGAAGTTGGCCTGGCCCGATGGCCAAGGCCATGGAATGGTAACCAGCGCTGGCTGGAGCGCGGCCGCCCCCCTCTCCCTGCCCTCTGATTGCACACGTTGTGCCGCTGGCATAGCAGCGAGGGGAGCCACCAAGCTATACCCTGATGGCTTTTTTTTTTTTTTTAAAGCCAAGTTTTTTCACTTGATACTAAGTTTACACTTTATACTTGATGATAGAATGTATGGTTTTGGTCAGGAAACTGCACTACAGTGTTGCAGTACTTTCAGCAGTTCCCTTCTTTCCTGTTATGGCACAATATAGTGTAGTGAGTTTAATTTTAAGAAAAAAAAAAAAAAACACAAAAACTAACCTCTCTTGCCCTCTGTTGCAAAGAAGTGGACCATGGCTTGAGTAGCACTTAAGCTTAGAATACCTGTACTTAAACAAAGGGCTCTGATCTTAACATCCTTAACCTAACCTTTTAAAACAGCATAAAGAAAAAAAAAAAAAGCACAGTAATTACTATTAAAGGACAGACATAAGTAGTTTACTCTTTCTGGTTAGCCAGGTGTCTCAGAAATTCAGTTCCATTTCAGGTGTTTACTGGCAGTGTAGTTGAAGGAAACGTGATAGTTTTGTTCAACAGTAACTTTCTGTACAGGCAGAAAAAAAAAATTCTGCTTGAAAAAAGTTGTAAAATATAATCTGTTTGCGTGGGTCAGATCCTGTGAACCTCACTGTATGTGGTGATATGATGAGAAAAACGAAAACCAGTCCTATTTGTATTTGTACTACTGCTTGTTTGCTACAATAGCTTTAATGGTTTCTAGAGATGTAAGTATGTGTTAAAGCAGGTAGCGTAGCTTTAGCCTACAGCCTGGTATAGGATTTATTGCCTTTTTTTTCAAGCGTCCTAAACTGCTTCACTCTGTTAGTCAGTCATGTAAAGTCATGCTGGAACTTCCCAACCCGTAAAGTGGATCTCACAAAGTGATGTGAAGTAGAATTAAGTGACTGTAGCTCTTCTGGTAGGTTTTGGTCAGCACAAAAGAACAGAGGCATACACAGACTATTTGCAGTCCACTGTTACATGGAGAAAAAAGGAACAATCTGACTAAAGCTATATTGTGACAACCCAATAATTCTAATATTTCCTGAAATGAAAACAAACTAATCTAACTTATTTTCACATGTTTACAGGCAAACTGCTATTGCAAACAGTATATTTTCTAACACTAGCTTACAAAGCATTATTTTGCAGTCATCTAGTGTAAAGTCAAATCCTACTAATGTGTAAAGTAATTCCTGTTGTACAGAAGTTATCTGTTGTTTAAAATGAATGGTTAAAAAAGTGCAAATGAGAAATACATGTTGGTGTTTGTATGGGTTTATTTAGAATAAAATGCATTTGAAGGTTATTTTGATTAGCTCGTGTATTTAGAAATGACTAATTATCTTGAAAGAAAGCACAGCTTACAGCAGTGCTGAGGTCACGCAAGGAACGGAGAACGAGACACTGCCAGTCAGTTAAGTACTACCCTGACTCCAGCTCTGTAAAGTCCCTAAGGCACAGCCACGTGAGTAGACACCATATTTCGTGAGGCTGAAGTTGGGCCGTACAAAAAAGGAAGGTACCACTCACCATCAGGTGACATTGGGGATGGAGAGTTACTGGCCTGAAACGGAGCAGCTAACTCACTGCAGGGGCTCAGCTGCAGAGGGGGGTTCCCTGCACCCCCCAGCCCCTGGGGCCTACCAGGGGGCTGGAGGCAGGCCAGAGATGCAGCACACCTCCACCCAGCCTTCAGGAGCTGGTGCGGTGCTGCAGCTTGAGTGCTCTAAAGCTCCGGGGCTCAGAGGCTGATTGAAGACAGGCAATCAGCTTGATGACAAGCTTTCTAAAAGTTAAAAGTGTTAAAAAAAAGGGGACAGCCTGATAACTGTTCTTTCGGGAGGGGACCCTGCAGGGACAGGAAATTAACTCCTCTCCCAAAAAAGTCTGAGACCTACGGGGAAAGAGAACCCACAAACCTGTAGATAAACATGTTCTTCCTCCCACTATTACCCTTTTTTACCCTACAAGAAGTGGGTTCCTAAGACAGCCCTAGTTAGTATAAATTTTCCCCTTCTCTGAGATCAGTCTTGCTGAACGTACCATGCCCAGTGTTGTGGACAGAAATAAGAGGTTGTTGGCAACCATTATGCATCTTTCACCATGTACTGGTATACTTAAACATTAATGAACAGTACATTTGGCAAAGCCAGCTCAGATGCAGATAGTTACATTTTCTAGATTAATTCGCCAGGAGAGATGAGAAATAGCTTCCATTACTTCTGATAGTTACAGGCTTAATACACTATTTTCCTCAGAGAACAATCTAAAAAATTCCCCAAGAAAATACAATACAACAATGTTTATACTTACCTACTGTACAGAAAATCAAAAATGCAGAAGCTGGAGAGCAAAGTTGAATCAATATTAATGACAATGTCACCATATGTAATTTGGTTACTCAGTTGTCCATTACTACAGCATTATGACAATATTGAATAAACTATTAAAAGAAATCCCCCTACATATCTCACTGTAATATAGCTTCACTGCAATATCTTGAAAATCGAGATTAAAAAAAAAGAATCATTCCTGCACTTCCAGGAAAGTTTTCGCTATCAAGTCATTTAAAGAAAAATAAATTGATCCTTTACACATTTCTGTTACTAAACTGATAATGAAGAAAAAAATACAAAGAAGATTTAAAATATATATATTAAATCTTGAATAAATAGATTTCACTGTAGTTAAGTAAACAGACACATTACAGTACAATTACAAACATACATTTACATAATGTGAAGGCAATTTGTTATACTTAATCTCTACTACATTATTTTTAAGAACCTGATTATTGCTTCTTCCTGTTATAATATATTTGTAAAAACACAAGAGGCACATTGTCAAGAACAGAAAATCAAAATTTTCATCACTTTTTCCATTACACTTCATCCCGTCTGTGTGCATGGGAACTTCAAAAATAAAAATCCAAATGGCAACCCAGCAAAACTCCACATTGATACAGTAACTTCTACACTGAAGGTAAGATAATATTACCAAAGATGTTGTAAAAGATTTTTCCAAACAAGTTGATTTTAATTTATGTTTTAAATATCAGCACAACCCAAACCTTGAGAGACGTTCTTAAAAGTTTTGTGCAACAAGATTATTCCATATGTTTTGACTTCCAGATGATTTTATATCATTTTATATAAAAAGGTTTTCAAAATGGAGTTACTCCTAGATTCCTTTGTTTTGAATCCTTGTATTTGATTATTTCCTACTGTCTATGAAAAATACAAAACTATGCAGGATAGGTTTTATGCTATTCAGGCACATACAAGCATGTTTTTGGCAAAGTATTAAATAAAAGCATGTACAAAAAATAAGCTATTGAAAACTAACAGTAGGTAGAGTTTGCACATTTTATTTAGATTCCTCATTTTGTGCATCATCTTCTTCAGGTAGTTTGTTTCTAGCTAAGTCTCTGTATGCTCCCACCATTACTCGCTCTCTTGATGGTCCGAGCTCTTGCAGCTGTTTTCTTTGTGTCGTTTCTAGTTCTTCCAGCCGCTTGCGAAGCAGAGAAAGCTCCCTTTGATGTTGTTCCTCCTTGAAATTAAGAAAAGTGTTTCTGTTACATTTTGCAACACCTATGAGGGACCAAAATAATTGCCATTTTTTAGTAATGATTTTAAAATAAAATTGTGAAGTTCAAAATGCCCTTATCCATTAAGATATTTTTCTGCAGTTTTTGTGG